TTGATGTACAACTAATTGTAGGTTTGTCATTTTCCATAAATATTGATCATCCACTATTTAAAGGTTTAAGAATTAATCCAGAAGTAATATTCAGTATGATTAAAGCACCTTTCAAACCCTGATGAGGAGCTGACAATCTAGTAAGTCATGGTTTATATATACATACAGAACTTCTGGCCATGATTTTTAGTTTGCTCAGTCTAGATCTGAAGCAAATCTGTGCTGCCCAGCAGAGCTCTGTGTAGAGCCCAGCCTTCCCCTAGGCAGCACCAGGTTTCAGTCTGTAGGAATTAAGAGATCCTGTGGGAACTCAAGAGGACGTGACAAAGGTACAAACGTTTGGTGTGTTTAGAGACTTACCTTGCTAGCAACAGCTTTATTAGCTGTGTACTTCACTAGCTATTAGTTTATAATGACACCACAGCTTGTGAAAACACATTCAGGGGTCAGATAAACCAGGTAAGAGCTACGTCACAGATACATGATAATAGAGCAAGTTGACAAACCATGTATTTTATAAACAAAAAAATCTCCAGAGCAAAGAGACAGTGCTGCAGCTGGATGAAGGGTTAGTTTTTTAAGTCAAATAAAATAATCCGAGCATAGAATGGTCATGCTTCAAACTCTTACCCAACCTGCTCTGCAACTTAGTGCTGCATCATGAATGAAAACGTCTGAAAAAGCCTGACTGCAGCTATGGACTCTAATACAACTGAGCAGAACTTCATTTTTTTCTCATTATTTAGAGTTCATTTTATGGATCTTTTCTAAAACAATCTTTGCCACCAAGTGATCTCAACTTTTTGTGATGTGTTGCAAGAAGTTTTTTCTTAAGTACTTCATGGACATTGTTATCTAAATAAAACCACCTTCAGCTTTAATGGTGTGTAAAGAAATTGGCTTTTGGCCAAGTATGAGCACTGTAAAAGTGCTTCTACATGAATACCTCTCCTACTTTGCTGTTTACCTGGTGGACTTAGGATGTTTAAAGTCCTTCTCAAGTTCTGAAGCAGCAAAAACGGGATGTCACAATCTGTAACATGGAGTTACCTACAGCACACATATAATTCTGTCTGTGGACTATGTATCAGACAGGAACAGGGGAATTTTCTGCTATTTGGGAGCTGCAGTGGTTTTACAATATTTGTCATGAATCTTTAAATACAAGCTGTGGTCAGATAGAGTAACTCGAGACAAACTGGATGACCATTTTTAGACTTCACAGAATACTCTGAGTTGGAAGGGACCCACCAGGATCTAGTCCAAGTGTTAAGCAAATGGCCCACATGGAGATCAAACCCACAACGCTGGTGTTATTAGCATCGTGCTCTAAACAACTGAGCTAATCTCAGGTTTCGTGTTTTTCCGGTATTTATTTCATATATACCTGCTTGTTTTTTCAGTAAGGGATGCTACACTGGTGTTTATTTGCTATGGAATAAAGCTGCAGAATTTCTAAATATAAGACAGATTACTTTGAAAAGGCAGCTCTCTGTTCTGGTTGGTGATATCAGTGGGAAACATACTTCAAAGGTAGTAACTTTTCATTAGTCTGAGGAGTTTCCATATAAACAACGGAACAACCACTGTACAAAATTCATTATGGGATAAATTATCAATCTGCAGTTCAAAAGCTCTTTCAAGAAGTGATCTATTTTAAAGTTGTGGAAAATACAAACATTCCACATCCATTAAGTGAACAAGTGGCATGCAAAGTGACATGCAAATATCCTTCAGATTAATCAACTTTTTAAAAAAGGAAGCAGAATGGAACTCGTAACACCGTCACAAAATGAGGGTTATGTTGTAACACCTTTTCACAACACCAAAACGATCTCCAAATTCAAAGTAAACGCTCAGAAACTTTTCTTCCTACCTTGTTTTACAAGCTGGTTTATGTTTGCCAGCACCACAAGCACCTGTGCACTTTGTAGTTCAGGAATTTTTAAATACTGATTGTTCAGTATATATAGCCTATGAAAATGAAACCTCTAAGCTACATATTCTCATCCCGAGTTAAAAATAAAACCCACGCTCCTGAGCGAAGGCTGTTGGCTGCACTTGCAGGGAATGGCCCGGGCTCTGCAGCGTCCCCAGCTCCGATGACAAAACCATAACAAACCTGCACGCCCATGGATTTTAAACAGCAAATCCGAAACCCAGGGACTACAAAGCAAGCTGGATCCAACAGCTTCCAGCACAACCTCTCACTTCTTGAAACTGGCTGTAAACAGGGGAAGGGAGGGGCCAGGCGCCTGCCAAGCCAAGCAGAAACTTGTGAGTGAGTAACTTAGAGAGGCAAAACAAGTGCAGCGCAGGCAGCGGCTCCCAGCGCGGAGCCGGGCGCCGGCCGGGCCAGCACCATGAGCCCCGGCAGAGCCACAGAGCCGGGGCCTGGCGGCCAGCTCGGTGCCCCGGGAGGGCGGCTCGGGGCAGCGGCACACGGCGATTGAAGGTGAGGGGCGCGGGGCCGGGGGAGCTGCGGGCGGGCAGGGGCAGTGCCCAGCGCCATCCCGGGCTGAGAGCGGCAGCATGAGGGCAGCGCTGGGAGCCGGGCGCCGTAAACAACAGCGGGCTGCTGCAGCCTGCGCTTATGCCACAGAGGCGGCGGTGAGCGGGCTGGAAGGGGCAGCGGGGATCGCTGGGCTCCCAGCGGTGACCCGGCCGAGGCAGGGCTGCCTTGGCAGTGACAAAAGGCACGGCCGGGTGCGAAGGGCGGAGCGGGGCCTGCCTGCGCTGAGCCCGCCGAGCACGGGGGATGCCGGCTTCAGCCGCAAAAATGCCTCACCTGGGAACGCCAGAGTCATCGACAAGGTTTCCCGAGGAAATGTTTTTAATTTGGGGGTTTCTTTTTTGCTCATTTCAGAGGTAAATATCGTCATTTTCCTGAGATTGCTATTTAACACAATGAATCGCCTGCCATTTCTATCATTAAAAGAGAATTGTATTGTTTAACCGCACTTAGAGGACGTAAAGAAAAAATAAGGGCAATGACTAAATTCACTTGTGAAATCAGACATTCCCCTGCTCTGTAAAATACAAAGCCTGGTGGCAAAGAGTGTTGATCTTCTGAGACAATATACAGGCAAGTTATTCAGTGGCTGATGTAATTCAGTCTGGAGTAATCAAAGCTACATGCTTAAGGATAAACCTACATAATGGAATTACGTGATTGTATCCATGCCTGTGCTTAGTCACCTTTGCACTCACCAGAATGCATATATTTGCAATCTCTAGTTCCAGTCTGCTGCTTTGCTTGAATCGAATCATAAGAGTTCAATGAGATGTAGTTTTGGTTCCCTTCAGCTGTGAAAGAAACAGCTTTTCTTTTCCTTTCTTAAAAACCTAAAACAACAGATGCTTCCTAAAAACAAACAGGGTTGTTTTCGGTGCTCGAAAATAGAATGAGGATGGAAAGACAAAATAAAGATATGATACAGTCCACTCATACACAACAGTATAGCTGATGAACTGATGTGAGAAAAATGAACCAAAAAAGTCAAGTTTTCCCACAGCTGAAAAGAACCTTTGAAAACAGTAGAACTTCTGGTGCTGCCACAGAAGCCACTTCTCTGAGGAAATCCAGCATAGGCCAGTGGAATAAAAATTTGCTTGCCCAGCTAAAATTACTGTATTTTTTGCCTGATTTCTGGCTCAGCTTATGTTATTTAGAGGAAAAACGCACACAAAACAACTGCAGTGGGAAATAGAACATGGAAATTGACCCAGTTTGGGGACAAATTTGTACTATGGCTGACGAGTCAAAGGATTAGCACCAGGGAGATGCAGTCACGTACCCGTTTGCTCCCAGACCCCACACGGTATAATTTAGCCATCTGGTTCATGGAGAATAGCATGTTGTCTAGTAGCATTCATTTTCATTGCACAATGTTTATTGTGGATTGATTAAATCTTGCTCTCCCTCTGGAAAGAATCCAGGTACGTGTACTTACACTTTGCTATAGGTGCTGACAGAGGAGCACACAAAACCACGGGAGTGTGTGACAGGCAGGGTACGTGACAGGGAAATCACCTGCTGCACCAGCTCTGCACTGACCCTGCAGTGGGCTGCCATGAATAACAGCCATGGTTTTAAGGCTGTGCCTGTTCAGAGTTGTACTCAAAGCAGAGATTATTTCTTGTTTCTGCATTTTGGAAAGCGACTTTACATGACTGCTTTGAAGTTCACTTGGTTTCAGTTAAAATGCTATCTCTACTGACGATAAAGCAAAGATGGGTGGACCTCAAGTGCTGATAGTAGCATACTTTTTAAAGAATTCGAGCTATTTTGAGAGGAAATGATAGCTGATTCTTGCCTTTTTGGAAAGTCAGGCTGCCCTGATATTAGGTTCCCTGGACTACAGAGGTCCATTGTTTTTTTGAAACCAAATGGTTATAAGGGTGGAAGTCTGAATGCAAACTGACCTATTTTTAAAAAACACCAAAACCAACCCCCCCACCTCATTTCCCACTGTCCTCTAGTCTTTTGTCAATTTTATCAGTGATCCAGTACACATTCACCATACTGCCTTGAGTGTGCCTCCTAAGAAACTATTTTTTTAAGGTAAAGCTTATTTAAGATGTTAGGAGATCTCTATTTTCCATCGTACTGTGAAGATTTGTGCTTCAGTTTATATCCTTTCACTCTTCAGTACTCTCATACCCTTATGTATTTTTAGCTATATACAAGGTACTGTTTGACAATTTTCAAAAAATTGCATCCATATTCATATAAACATCAGTACATAACGATAGTTTACAATTTACTTCTGTTGTGTCCTGTATCAACTAATTCACCACTAGTTTAATTTCAGTCAAAAACTGCAGAACGTGTATTAGTCTAATGAAATTTTGAATAACGGTTTACTTTCTTCTGGACTAACAACGTCAGTTATGTGATGCATATAATCTTAAAGTTCAAAATGTTTTCTTCACAGTATTTTGCATTTCACTTATGATGTAATATTTTAACAATGTTTTCACTATTTCTCTCTCTACAGAAAAGCTGGTAACCAGCGAAGGAAGACACAAAAGCTAAAATCACTATGTGGAGCTGTGAAGCCTTAATCAACAGTACTGAGAACAGTGAGGACCAGCGTCTCTGCCATGACTTCGACCTTGTGCTTTCCATTTTTTCCCTTCTCTACCTCATTATATGTTTCCCAATTGGCCTTTGTTACAATGGCCTGCTGGTCCTAGTTAACCTCTACAACAAAGCTACTATGACTATGCCAGATGTTTACTTTGTCAACATTGCCATTGCCGGTCTCATCATCAACACTCTGGCACCAATGTACCTGCTGGGTCTTGCCAATACCAAATGGGCCATCTGGAATTCCAACAACGAAGTTTATATTACCTTCCTTATTTTATTCAACGTCTCATCGTTAGTTACCATGTACTCTACCACACTGCTCAGTCTGGACTACTACATCGAACGTGCCCTGCCCAGGACTTACATGTCCAGTGTGTACAACACCAAACACGTGTGCGGGTTCATTTGGGGCGGTGCCATGCTCACCAGCTTTTCATCTCTCCTGTTCTACGTCTGCAACCACGTGTCCACCAAAATAATCGAGTGTTCCAAGATGCAGAACCAGGAGGCAGCAGATGCCATCATGGTGTTTATCGGGTACGTCGTGCCCGCCATCGCTGTTCTGTACGCGCTGACGCTGATCCTGCGGATACGCAAGGAGGCCACGCCGCTGGATCAGGACACTGGGCGCCTGGATCCATCAGTGCACAGGCTTCTGATTGCCACAGTCTGCACACAGTTCACCCTGTGGACACCCTATTATGTTATTCTCTTGGTAAGCACGTTTACCAACCTACGAGGAAGAATTCCGGATGTAAATTCCATTCAAATACTACACTTTGCCACGATTTTGTCAAAATTCCTGGCTTTCTCCAGCAGCTTTGTCATGCCTCTGCTCTACAGATACATTAACAAAAACTTTCCCAACAAATTACGACGTTTGCTTAAAAAGATACACTGTGGGAACCAAGGGTGTTCTCACGAGCGCACAGTTGTACAGCAGGTCATGACATAGGTGTGACACAACCCCTGGTGCTCTGTGCCTGCAGCACTGGGTGCTCAGTGCTGGGACTGTGATGCTGCTGTGTTGGCACTCAGAGACATTTGAGAGTCCCAACCAAGAGGCTGGAAGCAGCTTCCATTGCAGTTGAATGCAACAGTCTTAATTTTCCAGTAGTTGTTTGCTGAAGTGGTGTGAGGCTCTGGCTATGTGCTGCATGACCTGTGACATCAGATAGCTTCAGTGCACTGAACTGGTGACAAAGGACAAACTCTGTTTTCATGGCTCTGATCTTCCTGTCTGAAGAAATCACTAGGCAGTTTATTGAAGTCTTGACTGAAGACACAGCACCTTGTATCTTGTATAGAAAAAGGTATTACCTTGTTTTCTGTACTAAGAAGTGATAGTGCTATCCTTGATGAAGTAAATAGCATATTTCAATGAAGATTATATAGATGATCTTTACTGAAGATCATATTACTCAATTATACATGTCCAAATAGTAAATGTTAATTATAAATTAAATTATTTAATTTCTTTCTCCATCACTGAATCCTCTCTAAAAGAAGCCTAATTTACTTTTTTCAGAAATTATTTTCTCACACAAACTAACCTGTTTTAACGTTTATGGTAAACTGATTTTTCTTTTAGCTGCAACAAATAACAAAAATGTGTTTTAATTTTCCAGTGCTTTGTCTGTATCCTAAAACATTTCAGGAATTCAAAAATATTTATTAACTAATTCTGATGGAACTTAGAGATGTTTGTTCCACATGCTAAAATGAAGGACACAGTGGTTTACAAAGTTAAATCAGAATTTAACTAGTAAAGATTGTCTGGCTAAGTGTTATGGTCCACATATGTTCATGTAACAAGAGTAATTATCTTTAAAAATAAATATGTTTATGATTAACATTTTGTATTTTCAAGGGATGTGTTTGCAACAAATAAATTAAACTCTCTTTAATCTGTGACATCACCAGAGGTTTGGAAACCTGTAAAATTCCTCAATACAGGAATCCCAGTCAGCAACAGCTCTTTGCTTACCTCTCAAAAAAGCCTTCCATTGGGATTCTTGGATACATAGTAAAGTCTAGTTTCACAGTAGGGAAGAAGAAATCCAATCCAATCTAAGTTTTACTGATTATATAAAATACGTGAGAAACACAGACATGCTGCAGGAAGCACATAAACAGTTACAACAAACTACAGAGCACTGACCCAAAAACTACCTGTTCTTGTGCTGCTGTTGCATTAATGGCAGGAGGGGACAGGAGGGGGGCACAAGTGAAGCTGATATTCTCCCACTGCTGTGGGGCCACAGGAACACTTTTGTCACTTGATACATGCTACAGCATCATTTTATTGTTTAATCCATCACAGCACAATTCAGATTCCACATGACATCGAAAAAATGTGACTTTTCAGCCTTCTGGTATAGAAAAAGAACATGAAACAAGACCAGAACTGAACCTTTCCCATTGCTTAGAGCACAATCTTGTTTGATAACTGGTCCTGTCAGCAGAGACACATACTAAAATTCTATGTGAAAAGCAGGTGAGGAACAGATCTTTCAGATCTTTCCCCATCAAGCAATTTCTTCCCATAGTCATACATGCTTATCTACTTTACATACAAGCATCTCGTGGAAGACTTCCCATTAATCTTTACTTTTTTTAAAGAGATTTTCATATTTTACTGAATATTTTTAACCCTTGAAGCCTACAGAGTAAATAATCTATTTTTGTGGTGTTTTAGCCTGTTGATGAGAACCTTGATAAGGACTGAAACTGTTCCTTATTGCTGTGTCCAGCTCACACAGTCATTTACAGTACCTCTGTGCTGACATACATGATACTGGCTGCTTTCTTGGTTTTGCCCACCTTGAGAGATTTTCTGTGAATTTCTACACATCTTGAGCATTCAAGCTTGCTTCCACACAGAAGTGCTTAGAAACAAAATCTTTCCTTACAGCTGTCAAGCAGACTCCTTCTTCCCATCTGAGGAAAATTAGGTTTCTTAATGACCACGTTAAATCTCTCACGTAGAATCTGTTAAAGAAATTCTGTGCCATTATGCAGGAGGAGTTCCAGCAGGGAGGAACTGGCTTATCTGGTGTGAATAGAGGCTTTCAGAACTGGGACACTGCCAGAACTGTGTGGCTGAGAAGGCAACTTTAAGTGCAATTTCAATTTCCATGTTGCTTCCTTACTTCCATTTTTTCCTTCTCTTAAGACATCTTATTTTCTGTCTCTAAAAGAACTGTTGCCTTTGTTTCTGTTCCTTTCTCTGTGTGTTAAATTCTCAGTTTCAGATCGTGGTTCTTGTATCATTTCTCTTTATTGTTTTTCACTTCTCTGCACAATTTATTTAACTTTCATTTCTCTCCCATCCCTGCTTGTCTTGCACACCTGGTACCATTCAGTACTCATGTTTACTTCATCACACTGACTCCTTTATGATGGTCTAAACCTTACTCAGTGATCCGACATTACAAACAAATTTAGGTAGTAAAATGGCAGCTGCTATTTAAGAGATGTAAAAAGACAGATTTTTATGGAATTTACCTGTGGGGTATCCAATCTGATTTTTTCCTAATCTTTTTTACTGCAACAGAGCTGCGGATGTTTGTCTGTATCCTTGATAAACACTAAATGTGATGGCAATCATAGATACAACAACTTGGGTAATTTAATGACCAAGACTGCTATCCACTCAACCTCTTTGACCAGTTAATTTGATGTATTAGTTCCCTCAAAGAAACTGTGCTGTGGATCTGCCTGGCTGCTGTTTTTCTAAGGAAATTCTGAACTTAACTGCAGCACCCTCACCTGGTATCTCTTAAAAAGCAGTATCCCAAAAAGAGAGAGTTTTGCAGTATTTCTGTAAAGAAAAGTAGAGAAGCAAGTGAATAAAATACTTAAGGAAATACAAGGCATCATAAATTAGGAAGAACTTTTATGGACAAATACACAAAGTTCTCAAGAATGGGGCCTTTCCATTTCAAATACCTGAAGGGTTCTGGTGATTGTAAATAGGGGCTTATCTATTACACATTTAAATAGATATGAATAAAATACTGTATATATGCAAGATAAAAATCAGCCTACTGATGTAAAAAGAATCTGTAAAGAGTTTATTAAATTATTTCTAAAAGTGTATCATTTAAATGTAAACCTCTGAACAGGAAGGTGTACTGTATGCTTCTGTATGTATATAATGTGTACTAGAAAATAAGCACTAGTTAAGTGCCATTATTAACAGCATTATTTTCTCACAAAATTAAATTTAATATTTGAATTGATCTATGGCTTAAGCCCTCTTGCTGAACCGCTAATTAATTCAAATCAATGAACTAACAAAAATGTCATGCTCTGCTTCTGAGTTATTAAAACAGCTAGCTCAAGACAGGTCCTTGCTGACCAACTTAATAGAGGTCCTAGTTTCAAAAGTTTACATTTCAGAATCAAATTTTGGTGGTCTCTGAAGATTTAATTTCAGTTAATGAAAGAAGGTGATCAGCCACTAGAAAATTCCTGGTTCTGTTACAATGAAGAGATGTGGACTACAATATCATGTCAGAAATGGACTTTCTGGAAAGCTCCATAAGGAAGTATTGACTCATGATACATTCTCAATAAAAAGTGTTCAAGTGTATGTGGTCAATAAAATGTGTGATTCTTTTTTCTTTCTTTCTTGATAAAAACCTCTTGTAGACAAAGTTAAACCTGTGTGGCTTCACTAAATCAAAACATAACAAATTGCACGACTTGGATGTCAAATATCCAGGCCTTAATTTGACACTATTAAAATCTCATTATTCATCAGCATGAAGCTGGCTGGGAATGAAAGCTAAAAGGTACATACCTTGCCTGACTTTTCAGCATAAAGAATCCTGCAATTAATGAGGCAGAGTAACACTGCACCTGGAGATCAATGCAAACACTGGCCACATCCTGACAACTTCCTTTCCTTTGTGCTGCCCACAATCAGCTTCCTGCAGAAATTCTCTTGGTTCTCAGAACAACATAATAAAATAACCCACACCTCTGGCATCCCAAAGAAAACACAGCTTTTAAGAATCTAAGATACTTAATAACACATTCATTGCAGTAACCTCTGCACGTAACCAGAAGATTACTCCCCATGGATCAGTTCGTTTACCCTACATAGACGAAAATATTTTCTTAGCTATACTTCCAAAATTATTCATTTATTCCCTTTTGGTGAAGTGTAGGAAGACAGCAAGTAACAGCAAACTCTATTTAAAATTATTATTGATAAACTCATAAAAAACTCTCAATCCAAGGCACTTCTAAGTTGTAAGTCTCATTCAGAAATAAATGAAAATGGCAACTGTCAGAGTGGAAGTTGCAATATTACACCATTTACTCAAAGCCTAGCATCTGACAGGATGCCTTTACTTCCACACAGTGTTTTAAAGGGTGTTTTCTTTAATTGGAGAGCCAGCACCTCTGAACAAGTACAGAGCAGTGATTTTCTGATCCTTCTTTCCACAGAGCTTTTGGATGCAACCAACAAAAGGGCTGTTTCTCAGCTGGATTAGTAAAAGTCCTCACATACAACAGACTGGATCTTACGTGAGAACAGAGTTAGTTAATAAGCAGCAAGTCCACAAGTCCAGAGGTTGGAGAACAACTACATAAATGAAAGTAAAAAGGGTTGATCAGGTACAAAGTCAAGATGTTTACACCAGTACAAACCAGGCTGACATGGCACCTGACTCTGCCATTATCTGTCAATATACAGACATCACAGAAATCAACCACATTCTCTGAGTATTCACAGAAAATACTCACTCAACTACTATATAAGAATAGGCCCCAAGGTTGTGAAGAAAATATAATCCTGCTACCACAAACCTCAGAAAGAAGTAACACCTTTTTTTTTCCTTGTTTAAGATTCAATTAAATCGCTTTTGTGCTGTGGGTATGTGCATCAGTAATGCCCCATTTATCACTGCTTAATAAAAATGAAAGCAGCCCAGTGTCTAGGCTGGAGACCTCGTGAGCTTCACTGCAGGAGCACAGAACTGTTAAGACCCAAGAAAAGCAGAACCTGCTCAAGTGCCACTCTCAGTTCCACTGTTTGCTGAGGACTCAGAGAGGAATCGATTCTTGCCTAAGTTTCTGCAGCTGTGAAGTGCTCAAGGCACTGATGAATCCTAAACATCTGCTCCTAGATTAATTTATGTAGTCTCTTAATAAGCAAAATCTTGTGTATTTCTTGAGTGTCTTGTGCAATACTTGGAAGTGAAAGCAATCTAGTGGTACAAACCCAGCTGTGCAGACTGCCATGGCAACAAATCTGAAGTATGAAATGTTTCCGCTGTTGAATTCCTTACGTTTTCCATTATATATCAAAACACTTTGACATATGCTGACTACATTCAGGAGACCAGAGGATCTATTATTTCCTTTGTCACCCCTCTTTCTTCCCACCAAGTCCTTCCCTTACCTGGAAATTCCATGTGATTTCCTAATATTCCTTCCTTCTAAAGAACTGGCACTTTTAATTACATCCGCAAGAATATTCACAGTCTGCAGCAGGCAGAATTTCCATATTATTACAAATCATGGCAGTAAAAGATCTTAAAACACAGGCTTCTCATCAAAGTATTTATAAATTAAGTATAGAAACATATTTTTAAAAACCCTTTCTATCGTAAGTTCTTTAAAGCAAGGTTTATAACCAGAAGTGAATCCATTTTACCCAGTTTTAAAAGTACTTGCATGCTTTTTTCACTTTTCTTAAATACATTATCCCAGAGGTGCTGCCACTGGCACTGATGGGCTCAGCCTTGGCCAGTGGCAGGTCCACCTTGGGGTCTGCTGGAATTGGATCTATTGGACATGAAGAAGTTTCTGGCAGCTTCTCACAGAAGCCACCCCTGT